CATGAAGAATTTTTTCTATCTTTGTGACTTAGTCAAATAATTGTTTGCCTTGCTTAGATACCTTTCTATTAATGTTTTTACTGAGTACACTCACAATGGAATCAAGGCTCTTAAAGGCTTTAGGGCTTTTGTTTTTGTTGTTTTTTTATCTACTTAAAATACTATTTGGAGAAAATATATTATTATGGAACTTTATTTAAAAAGAAAAAATTTGGGCACCTTGGTGGCTTAATTCATTAAGTGACCAATTCTTGGTTTTAACTTAGGTCATGATCTTGTGGTTCATGAGTTTGAGCCCCCAAGTTTGGCTCCATAGTGAGTGTGGAGACTGCTTGAGATTCTCTCTCTCCCCCTCTTTACCCTTTCCTGCTCTTGCACATGCTCTTTCAAGATAAAGAAATTTATACATATATATGTATATATATACACACACACACACACACACATATGTCTCGTGTGTGTGTGTGTGTGTGTGTGTGTTTATGAGATGATTCACATACGGAATTCATGAAATTCTACAACTAAATTGTGGAATTCTGAGACCATGATTAAATGTCCTTTCAAGAGGTAGCTGGTGGCTCAGTCAGTTAAGCGTCTGACTTCAGCTCAGGTCATGATCTTGTGGTCTGTGACTTCAAGCCCCACGTCAGACTCTGTGCTGACAGTTCAGAGACTGGAGACTGCTTTTGCTATATCTCCCTCTCTCCCTCCCCTCTCTCACTTGCTCTCACTCTTTCTCAAAAAAGCAAACACCTGGATAAACATTTAAAAAAATGTAAATGTCCCTTCAAGAACTGTTATTTAACTCAAATCGTAATGTAGTATTGGGAACACTGTCCTTCATTTTGCTCCCTTTTATCAAGATTGACATCTTTATTGTTCTATTATAAAACAATTTTAATTTTTATACAGTGTGTATAGGAGTTCATAATAAGCAACAGTGGCTTTGTCAGCAAAATATCTGTATCTTGAATTATGACCAACCTTGATGTATCTTGTTTATATCCATGTGGGCACTACAAGAGGTTGGAGTTTCCCCCCTTCATTTTAAAATAGTCTTTCTCAATTTCCTTCTAATCTCTCTGAATGTCTTTTTCTTTTCTATCAGAATGATAGCAAAGGTTTATGTATTGTCTTGATTTTTGTAGAAGAAAATAATCTCTGAAGAGCACTATTTCATAAAACTGTTCACATACCTAAAATAATATAATCTTTGTTTCCACTTAACACTCAAATATGAATCTAATTTATATGCATGTTACACCTGCTTCTCAAGGCTTATATTTTAATAGTACAATGCAGGCAATGGAACTAAAAGATTCTCGTAGTTTTAGAGAAAGTTCATGAGGTCACACCATTTAGATATGCCAATTTATGGCTTATTTATATATGTGAAAATTAAAAGGAAATTCATTTATTTTTTTAAAAAATTTTAATGTTTATTCATATCTGAGACAGAGACAGAGCAGGAACAAGGGAGAGGCAGAGAGAGAGGGAGACATAGAATCTGAAACAGGCTCTGAGCTGTCAGCACAGAGCCAGACATGGGGCTTGAACCCTCGAACCGTGAGATCATGACCCAAGCTGAAGTTGGATGCCCAACCGCCTGAGCCACCCAGGCACCTGAAAGGAAATTCATTTATAATGGAGTTTGGAGACTGGCAGGGGGGCCTCTCAGCCCTACCAGTCAATTTCAATAGCAAGAAATGGACCCTGAACTTGAATACTACTTTGGTACCCCAGCAGATGGAAGGAAGATGTCTTCCTACCCCAGCAAGGGCCCAGCCAATGAAAGACAGTCACAACTCAGCCAACAAAAGGCCAATATGCTTTCAGCTCCCAGATTACTCAATGGGCTGTTAGTTTATAAGAGTCCCACCCAACTCCCTTGTTTTCTCTATAAGAGGATATTTCTCTCCCTTACTCACCACACTTGCCTTTGATTTTGCCATAGCTCCCTTATCTGAGTGTGTTGTTCTCTGTTATTTCTGAATAAACTCATCTTTTGCTGGTAAAACAATTGGCAGTATTATTTTTAAGGTTAGCACATATAATTAAATATTACATTCGACTAATACAAATATGTTATAGAAAATGAAGGTGAGCTGAGAAGAAAATAAGATGGTTGTGTTTGATCATTTAAATGATTATATCCATTATAAAGGATCAGGAAAGTTTGAAGAAGATGGTATTAGAAATAGACATTTGATGATATTGCTTTTTATAAAGAGTGAGCACTAAAGGAATATATTATAAAGAGAATAAAGTAAAAGTGTAGGTAAATTCAGAAATACTGGAGAAAAGGGGAAAATTTAGTCTGGCTTGATGGCTGTTCTCAAGGAGAATAATAGGATATAATGTAAAAATGTTATGAGCCACGTGGTAGAAAGTCAAGAACACCAGTATGAGGACTTAGCTCTTGATTTGGAAGACACAGGGAGCTATCGCTTGGATTTGAAGAGGAGTCTAGCTCTATACAGTAGGAAAATTGCTCCTCTTGGCACAAAGTCCCAAAGATTTTCTACAGAATGTTCCAGTATAGGAAAGCTCATGGGGTAGAAGAGAAGCAACAATTTGGCTAATGTCATTTTAATTTTGACCCTATTGTATAAATATTGTATTGAAATAATTAGTGACAGTTATCACAGGTGGCACTTGCTCCTCTAATGCACCCACTGTGCTCAGGAGCAGAAATTTGAAAAATGTTATAAACTGCAAACACCTTTTGCCTATGTGCTCTCCACATTGCTATGTTTCCTCCTCTTTTAGTACTCTAGCAGGAAGAAAACAAAAACATGAAATTCAAGAGGCTTCCTAAAAAAAAAAAAAAAAAAAGGATCAAAAGACCATCATTTCAAAGAGTTATAACAACCATGTAGTGATTTGCACTACCCAATTTGTTCTCCTTACAGTATTTATCATAGTTTTATTATGGTGGATCACAATTCTTAGGTTCAAAAATATATCATGCATTTTTCTAACATCCCACAAATCCCTTGGGAGGAAGGGTTCAGACTGATAATTTACAAAGTTTGTTTTAAATACAAATTTGAGGCAGCTAGAAAAGGAAATATCTAACCCTCTATCTTCATGTTATCCTGGATAAACTTGAAGGTAAGGAAACAGACTGTAGTGACTTGAAGTAGGGAGTCAAGAAGGTATCATTTCTGAACCATAAAGAATCAGCTGCAAAGTAAAAAGCTATAAAACACAGCATGAAATAACTCATTGTAAATTTTTCTTACTGGAAATACTTGACACTATATGATGAATATAATTGTAGTTTGTTTTGAAAACTATGTTGTTTCCTAAAATATAAGGTTTTTATCCTCATAGCTGGGATAATGGGGAACATATTTAATAGGGTAATGTACTGTGACCCTATTGAGCACATCCCTTTGAATGGAGATGGAGAAATATCTAACCACCTATCCATATATATTGAAATCAACAATAAATAATTTATGGAGCATTATTAAATTATGTTTTTATAATATGCTAACATAAAAATGTTATATTTTTTTCCCCAGTTCAACGCTCCATCACCGAACTAAGGAAGGGAATAATATTGGCTGGTTTGCCTTCTTATAGGCTTTAGAAATCCTATAAGAATCAAACTGAGTATTTATACTGTGGGGTGGCTTTATGGATTTACCTACCCTGCCCAGAATGCTTCTGCTAAAACCTTCATCTATAGGATTACAAAATGTCTTATTTACCACAATGGTATTCCACTAAGATTGCCTCTGACAAGAAATACATTTTACAGCAGATCATGTATGGCAATGGGCTCATTCTCTTAGAAGTCACTGTTTTTATGTTATCCATAATTCTGAAGCAGCTGGCTTGATAGAACAGTGAGTCTTTTAAAGATTTAGTTCTTATACCAACTACATGTCCAACTACATGTCCATCTGAGATGCAGTCCATTTTCTGAATCTGTGATTAATATATGTTGTTGTTTGTCCCACAGCTAAGATCAACAGGTCTGGGAACCAGTGAGTGGGGTGAAAATAATAATAGATCCTTTCACTACCACTTCTAGTAACCCACTGGTGAGATGTTTGTTTTCTATTCCCAGGACTTTTGCTTCTACTGGTCTGGTAATCTTAATTGCCAAAGGGAAAATGCTTCTATCAAAAGGCAAAACAATGATTCCATTAAACCGTAAGTTGAGGGGCGCCTGGGTGGCTCAGTTGGTTAAGCGTCCAACTTTGGCTCAGGTCATGATCTCACAGTCCATAGGTCGAGCCCTGCATCAGGCTCTGTGCTGACAGCTCAGAGCCTGGAGCCTGCTTCAGATTTTGCATCTCCCTCTATCTCTGGCCCTCCTCCCTCCCTCCCTCCCTCCCTCCCTCTCTGTCTCTCAAAAGTAAATAAACACTTAAACATTTAAAAAATAAACTGTAAGTTGATACTGCCACCTGGTTACTTTGGGTTTCTCAGGACAGTGAATCAACAGGTAAACAAAGGTGTTAGTGTGCTGGCTAGGGTGATCAATCCTGATTTCGAAGGGAGATTGGGTTGCTACTGCATAGCATCAGTAAGATGAAGAATGTCTGGAATACAGAAGATGTGTTAATAGTAAACCTTCTCTGTCTTTAAGTTACAATATATCAAAGGTCAAGTGTGATTTGGTTAGGGAAAAAATGCCCATAACCTAAAAAGTGATTTCTTTTGAGGGAACAGATTACTTTGGCTCTTAGCTCTACCAGGGATGACTAAATTCCATTAGGGGAAAGCATGATTTTGTTATTATCTTTTTGTTATTGTCTCTGTTTGGAAGTTAATAAAGATAGAAGAGGGTACCATGCTGACAAGAAATGGACTGTGATGGCCATATTATAGGTCAATATAGTTACGTTGGAGATATGTTACTACGCATCTGATTTTCTTTATGATACATGGAAAAAATTACATGAGATTTGAAAGAAGGAGAAATCATTTCATATAAAGTTTGGAGCTGGGCACCAAGTAAAGTGATACCTACAAATTGTCGGGGGTTGGCCTGAGGTCCATGTGGGCATACCAGTGCACTTTTGCCTTCTCTGAACACTGACTGATGTGTGTGAACAGTTCTGTGTTGACGGGTATTGTTCCACTGCGTGCCAGATGAGATGACAGGAAATATGATTTCTACTTTTTCCTTCTGAGTCCTGGATTATTCTTGCAGGTTCCAGTTTGCCCTTATTATCCCTCCAGTTCACATTCCATCCTCCCTGCCTGCCATCATCCTGGTTGACCAGATGGAAGGACTTGTGGCATTCCACCAGTTCCCTAAATTAAGTCTAATGTTTATTAAAAAAACTCATTTTGTATCACTCTAACTAAGCCTTGACTGATAGACACTTTATAATATTTTTGTGAAAAAGATTTCTATAAATACATCTATAAAGTACTTAGAATATATAAATCAAAATGAGAAAAAAAGAGAGCAAGAGAAAAGAGCAAAAGTCAGTGTTTAAGACCAATGAATCGAACAAAACTTGAAATCAAAATTGTAACATCTATACACCACATACATTTTCTCAGTCCACTTTTTTACTCACAATATTACTGCCAAAAGCAATCACTGCTGTAAACTGTCAGCATCTTGCTTCAGTATACCACAGATGCCACTCAGAACACCTCTGCAGATACTCTCTCAGCTATCACAACCTTGCACAAAATGGAAGTGCAAGTAAATTAACCCTTCTGGGGCAACTCTTGCTGAAGGGTTTATCTAGTTACCTGATTAACAAATGTTCTTCTGTCTTTATGGTGGAGAACTCTGAGATGCATTGTGTAAGACTCTTTAGAAAGTTGTCAACAACATATAATCATTTACCCACATCAATGATCAGGTCTACATTTTGTCTATTAACTGTCCCATCTTCCCTGTTTTGCTCTTCACAACTGTTACATCCAAAATTAAAATCCTTGCATTCAAGGTATTTTCTTAGGCTCTACTCTTGGGGGAAACCAGATTAAAAGAACTGGTTATAAATATGGCTTTAGAGGCCTGCCTGGGTGACTCACTTGGTCAAACATCCAACTTTGGCTCAGGTCATGATCTCATGGTTTGTGAATTCAAGCCCCACATCAGGCTCTGGGCTAACAGTGTAGAGCCTGCTTGGGATTATTCCTCTTCCTCTCCTCTTTCTCCTCCTTATTCTCTCTCTCAAAATAAATTAAAAACACTTAAATTTTTTTTTTTTAATCTGGCTCTAGAAAGAACATCTTCTGAAGTAGAAATCTGAACTGGGTTCTCTGATTTGTATCAGAATCAATAATAACCATTACTAGGGCTAGGTGTGAAGATGTAACCCCTGATGTGGAATTATTTCATAATTATCATTTAATTGGTGGTGAACTTGGTAAGGTATAAGTGGAAAGTGAAGCATTGGTTTAGTTTTCAGTGGTGGTACTTGAGTGAAATGATGAAACAGTAATTATAAATACCACAGACCAACTACCTGATGATAGATTCCAAGCTATGAAATCCCTGAATGTTCAGCTTCAGTAGGTCGGTACCCTACTACCAAAAGAATGGGATGTTGAGTCTTGGGACAGAGATATTTGGGCGAATAAACCTGGGCCCTCAGATTATCTTGAACCTCCTTGCATGATGGGTACTTTCTAAGGGTTCCTAAAATCTGTCCTTTTTAGTTTTTTCATTATCATCTCCAAGTGAATAACTTGGTCTCATCTCAATAAATCCCAAGCTAATAAGTTCTTGTCTCTGCTATGAGAAGATACCACTTATTTACCAAAGAGATTTGGGATCTGGAAACAAGTTAATGGTAAGTCTTGAAGGTGCTGGACCAAGCAGGGAGATTTCAGGGCAGATAAGGGAATATTTATTGACATGGGTATATACTCTTATGATCTGAGATTGAACATTTGGTTAATAACTGGAGCCAATCCTTATATGCTACCAGGGGGATAGTTTTGTGATGGACACAGTGGGAGCCACAGTGAATAGTAGCCAGTGTAAAAGGTAAAAGGTGCCCCACAGATGTTGATGTGGGGATATTATAATAGATTTAATATGTGAGACCAGGATACCCTTCACCTATGTTCTCCAGAAATGACACCGGCCACTTCATGTGTTAAAGCTGTTAAGTAAAGTAGTAAGTTATCTTGCAACATCTTTGAAAAGAAGTAACTGCCTTCTCTATGCTGAAGTTGATAGGCAAGGATGCTGTGGAACTAGGCTCTCCATTATTGCTGTGTATAATCTGATTTTAGATCACCAGAGGCCCAGTGGTGGTAATCAACTGACCAAGACAAGGTGAAAGTCATTACCATGAAGGGCAGCAAGAATGGAGAGACAACCGGGATACTTTGACCTACAAGGATTTTTGCCAATAGATAATAGGTTAGTGATCTTAGATATTAGATAGATGATAAACCAGTTTGGATATCTCCTGACGTAGAATCAGAAAAGAGAGCAACAAAATGTAGAGGTTAGCCACAGCAATTATAATGATCCAGTAATCATTTCCAGAACTAAGTCAATTATCAGACCCAAATTCTTTAGTTGAAGTAACCAAAGGCTGTTGGGTACCAGGTCTGAATGGATTCTGATCCAAGTAAAACCAAAGCATCACGATGGTTAAAGGGAAGGTATAAGAGGACCAGGTGATAACAATATTCTGGTATATATCTGACTCCAAACCATCCAGGCACTTATTATGTAATTATTGTTTATTGTATCACTGAAATTTATAGATTGTAGTGAAAGAACTCCATAAACTTTTTCTTACTTGTCAACTACAAGCTAATAAGATGGTGAGGGCCAAGTGGAATTTCCTGAAAACCTCCTCTCCCTTCAAGCAAACTCATACAGGGATGAATTAAAGAGGTTAATGCTATTATCAAAAAATTAGAGGACATGGTGGCAGTATGCTCTAAACATCCACATTGAGTTCCCAGTCTGGGCAGTGAAAAATGCAAATTGTGCCAGATAATTGTGTATTACCATAAACTTAAACAGACGTTGTTCTTCAATTGCAGCTGCCTTGTCACATATGGTATTGATACACAAATAACACAGCCTCTGGCACTGGGTATGTGGCTATTGATCAAAGTTAAGAACTTCCATGAAAAGACATCAATGGGAGAGTTAAAAAGTCAAGCCCCATAGAGATGATAGTTGCAATAATTATAGCCAACAAATTATTCACATTCAAGTACAAAAAGAACTGTGTATTAATAAGAATGCTGCCAACCTAACTGAAAAATGGGCAGCATTGATTGGGCAAGTCCTTCACAAAATAAGGCATCCAACTGGCAATAAATATAAAAAATGTGTTTACATTCATTAGTTATCAAGGAAATGCAAGTGAAAGTCATATAACGTGATACCTCTAAACACCCACCAACATTACCAAAAGGGAAACAAGACAGACAGTAGTGTTGAAGGGAGGTCCATCCAAAGGAATGATTCATCTATGTTAGGTATAAATTGGGGCTACCACAACTGAGGATGACTTGGTAATATAAACTAAAGCTCTACATTTGTAAATCTTATCGCCTGATTATTGATCTCCTAGGCACATACAAGAGGTAAAAATCAAATATTAACAAAACATATGCACAAGCATCTTTTGGAAGCCCTGTAACATCCTTAAAGATTTAAATGTGCACAATTGGATGAATAAACTAATGTTCATAAATGGAATCCTTTAAAGCAGTGAGAATAAATGATTTACAAGTACATCCAATAACAGGGATGATCTCACAAAGAATGTTAAACAAAAGAAGAAAGATACCACAAAGCCCTGACGAAAGCAAAACTAGTCTATGGTGTTAGATACCCGGATAGTAGTTATCCCTGTGGAGGGTAATCACTGGAAAAATACTGCTAATGTTTAATTTGGCCATAGTGCTAGTTATAAGCACGTGTCTATTCTGAAAACTTACCAATGTGAAAACTTCTGATTTCCTTTTTCTCTATTTTATACTTTAATGATTTTTCCTAATGTGAAAAGGGCAACAGTGTGCATTTTCTTTGTTCCCTCAGAGCTGGAACTCTTTCCTGTTCTGCTTCAATATAGTCTGGGGGGGGGCGTGTGTGAAGTTGACACCCTTCTTTTTCTTCTACAGAACATCACCTCACTCACTATCGTAATGCAGTCGTGCTCATTGTAATGACTCCAATTAGAAGTAGTATTCTGGGTACTCCTGGGAAGACACCTGCTTGCATTCCAGAGGATGGGAAATAAGATCCACAAAGACTAGGGAATTTGCCACACTGAGAACAGTTTTTAGGCTCTGATAGCATGATTTATGCCTAACAGATATCTTCTATGGTACAAAGCTATTTCGTGCACATTTGTGACGCCTTACTTTAAGCTTGCTGGGCCTCTTTGGATTCTGGAGGTGCCACAGGTATTATCTAGAATGCTATTCCTAAGAATTTATCAGGTGACCCAAGGTCCCTGATCAAGAAAGTGATTTCTAGCGTTTCTAACTTGCCATACAAGCTGTCATGCAACATGACTCCAGAGATTTGACACAGCTGGACATATCTCAGCAGATAAAGTGCAGTATCTCTAGTAAGCCAAGAGACAGAGGCACAGAGCAGACTTCTCAGGAACTGAAGCCAGTTTGTGCATCTTCCAGCAGAGAAATACTTATTTAAAAATAGCTGTTGGTGGGGCTCCTGCGTAGCTTGATCGGTTAAGCAACTGACTCTGGCTCAGGTCATGATCTCACAGTTTGTGGGTTTGAGCCCCATGTCAGGCTCTATGCTGACAGCTCAGAGCCTGGAGCCTGCTTCAGATGCTGTGTCTCCCTCTCTCTCTCTGCCCCTGCCCCACTCACACTGTCTCTCTCTCAAAAATAAATATTAAAAAGTAATTTAAAAATAATAAAAACAGGTATTGGTATTGCACTAGTCCCTTTAAGGGCTGAACACCTGTTATGAAGCAAGAGTTGGGGGAGGTCACTGAGAAGGTGTGACTGCTGGTTGACCTATAAGCTCTATCAGGGCAACTGGAAGCTCCCCATTCCCTCCCTCATTTTTGGAATGTGCATTCTATTTGCCTTCCCTACTCCCAGAAGCTGCTCCAGGACTTGCAATAGAGATATGGTGTTGAGGGTATCAGACACTACACGTGATTAAGCCCAGTTAAGATCTTTCTATAAACTCGAGATTCTGAGGGATATAGAGACCCACTGGGCTTGCAGCCAACTACCCAAGGCAAGCCTCTTACAGAAGTTCCCTTGCTCATTAAGCCTGCCACCTACCAATCTGAAGTGGTCTGCCTCTTTGGTCTCTCCCTTAGCTCCATATATGGAGGCCAGTTTCAGATTACACATAGGAAGCTCCTGAGAAGTTGCTAACTAACATCATGCAATCAGAGCAGCCCACTTTGACCTAGGTATTCTGAGATCCATTAGGGAGGCTCGAGCAGCTACATAGCAATCCACAGAGAAAATAATGCACTGACGATCTTGGTTGAGAATATCCAGAAGGCAAAGATATGTTGAATGAGTAGGTGACTTCAATTCTTTTGTCACCTTTTTAAGTTACTTACATCAGTGCTTTATTCTTAATTTATACATGTGACCTTTTAAGGACTTCTCCATAATAACTTCCTAAAGGAAAATGGTCTTGTTCACAAACCCATGATGCAAGATAGTTATTGTGTAGTATATTTTTTTTTCTACTACCCTACAGGCCTAACAAGGATGGCTTTGAGGGAGATGGTCAAGGAAAATACTCATATTGAGCAGAGCAGTTAGCAGTGTGCTTGGTTATTTACCTTGTATGGAAGGCTAGCCCATGTGTAGATGGGTATTCCGTTAGGGGCTCAGAAGAAGCAGGGTTAGAAGACTGGAGCCAAAGATGTTTGGGAAAGATTCAAAGTACATAGATCTCTGGGAATAGGCACCAAGTGTGGTGATGTTTGTGTCTCATTTTCATAACAACCAGACTATATCCACCAGAGAGGAAGTGTTGGCTCAGATAAGAGTCTTCTAATGGAAGTCAGCTACTCTCTCCCTTCAGCCGGAGCATCTTTTGCATAATGGACCTACAGGTACCTCTGTCCGTATGCTGATAGGATATCTCTTGTACCATAAGACATTGTCATAATATCGTCTAAAACCAAAGAGTCACTTGATAGAAGGAGAGGTGCAATGTTCAATTCAAGACTATGGTATTCAGTGGTTTTACCAGAACACATTGCTTTGAAGTAGTCAGCTGAGTGGTTGATTGTATATTTGGTTAGGATGACTGCTCCAGAAAACACCCTGAATAAAGCAGTATACACAGTATTCCTCAATAGATGTATAGCTCAGTGTTCTCAATAGCTGGAATATGGGGGCTGATCCAGGGATTAAAGTAACATTGTTCCCTTCACCTTCAATGCTAAAGATGCACTTGCAGAATGTTCTTCCCCACCCTCCTAACTCTACACTCTGAGAGGCCTTGGAACTGCAGCTGGCCACCAACTTTGTGACTATATGATGGGTAAAACTTTGATAGGATATGAATTTCTCTGAATGACGCTAGGAGGGGAGGTGTTATGCTCTTTGATACATCCATTAGTCTAAATTTGAATTCTGAACTCTAGTCATTAGCCCACCTCTGGGCACAGGTGGAAAGAACACCTCATTGTTGCTGTACTGCTTCTCACAAGGCCTCTGTGATGTCACTATATGGCACACTGGATGGAAACTCAACAGCTATTTTGACATGAGAACTAACCTGGATGTGAAAGGACATTGATAGTTGGACCAATGGATGTAAACTTTCTTAGGCCTAAGAAGCCTAAGTACTTTCTTAAGTGGCTTCAGTGGACAGTGCATAGAGGTACCCAGTTTCATAATGTCCCTCACGATGGACCTTCCTTTTACTTCCCTTTCTACCTCCAGCCTCACATCCTGTTTCCTAGTATCCATTCCCAAAGCACACTACCTGCACTCCATAGTTTTCTCAGGCTTTGTTCTGAGGAAGAAACATGAACAAGATACTGGTATTCAAACAAACATGCCTTGGTTGTTCTGAGGGCTTTACGCACAGAGATATGGGGGCTTGAAGTGCCTTTATGCCAAGAAGTTCCTTGGGTTGAAAGTGGTTTATTCGAGTACAGTACAAGCAGCTCATTTCAGACATTCTTCTACTTTTAATCCCAACAAGTAATTACTGAAATATTTCTTACATGTGAGTGAAAACCAGTTGCAATGCGATGATGCTGAGTTACTGAATTACATCTAGAATTGTGGTGTAGGACTGAGAGAGGGATCTGAGATGCGATTTTCACAGCTCAAGCTATGGGAACACACTTGTTCTCCCTCTTGAGAAGTAGACTCTATCTTTGCCCACCACTGTATCCTCATCTGCACACACACTAGACGCTAGCCTGCTGGAAAATCTTCAGTAAATAATTTCACATAGTTTCTTTCTTAGGCTGGTGTATATGGTACAGTAAAACATCCAGAGAGTGGGCTGGACCTCATATTCCTCAAAAATGAAGAAAATTTGGCTCAAGACAACAGCTGAATATCAGCAGGGAAAGTTACAAGGGTGTTTGTCCTGAGTGACTTAGATAGCTCTATGACCTGGATTCGATGAGAAGAGATGACATTCACAGATTTCATCTCTTACTTTTTGAATGCTAGTCTGGGTTCAGGCTTGCCTTCATTCTGCATCAGCACGGTCCTTACGTTATAGTAGACAAGCTTACAGTTGCCGTCGTCAAATTCTATATAAGCAGCAGGAAAGGAGAAAGATTGTGGAAAGTGTTTTCAATTTTTCAACTTACAGGTGCATATAGAGGTAACTTTTTTTTTTTTTTTTTACAATATTCATCTGCAAAATGAGAGGTATTTTAGTAGCTTTACTTAACTAGTTTAATTTCAGGTAATGATCTTCACACTCATTGTAGAAGGAAAAAAATCCATCTAGTGCTTCTGTTAGTAGTAAGAATGAAAGGATGAAGTGAGGTAGATGATATGATAGCTGAATGGGAAAGAGACGCTAATTATTGCCCACTGCTATACCTCATGGTGTGTGATGAGCCCTGAGTGTCCCCTGAATAGAAGGAATCTCTGTCTGTTACAGGGGAAGAATGACTCATGGTCAGGATAGAGCCTCTCTTTTCTTCTTAAACAAAGGAGACCATGTAATTTGGAAGGCAGGGTGAAGGATGGTATGACCATAGAAACACAAATCATCACATATCCCTGATGGTAATGACATTCTTCATCCATCCCTTCCTTTTGTTATTGACTAGAATAGTATCATCTTTGGCTTTTGTGTTATTGTATTACATTGTATGTACAGTAATAAGCAGCTCAATTTAATTACTCCATTTCTAATAAGAGAACAATATTATATAGATATTTCTTGCTTCCATTAGGCAACATATATCAGAAAATAGTCAAAAGAAGAAATCACTGATTTACAGATTATGTCCCAGATGTCTATATGGTAATTATTTAGCATGCAATGCTTGGGATTAGAGAAATGTTGTGGATAACCACAGTAAGGTTCAACCTGAGTCAATCAAAAACAAAAAAAAAACTCATCATTTTTCTGAACTATAATATTAATAGCATTTCTCAATTATAAAGAAAAAAGAAGAAAACAATTGATGGACAGAAAATATTTATAAATCTTCTCTATGCCAGATACTTTAGACACAGTATCCCATATAATTATAACAAGTGCTATTATTTCCCTATTTTCTAAGTGTGAATGCTGAAACTAAGAGTTATTGATAACATGTTGAGATACTTTTAGCTTGTGAGTAGCTAAGCTGGTATAATAAACCCAGTTCTGTCTGATTCAGAAATTTTTTCATCTACTGGGTCTTCTCCGGATGGCCAAAATTGGACGTTGCCTTAGTTCTCTTACAGAATCATAAAACCAGTCCATGGAAGGAGAGATCCAAAAAGCACATGAGCATCCCCATGTAAGCTCAGCAATATATTTCTCTTAAATGTCACAAAACCTCTTAAACCAGACATTAGGACTCAGACCTGTCCTTGAGGATTTGAAAGGTACAGGAAAGAGGGCAGATAAGAGAGAGCAATTTTGAGTTTTCTTAAGTGCCCATAACAGAGGCCCGATAGATTTTATGCAGAAAATAAAGTCGTAGGGCCATATTTTTATTTCCCTAAGGCCAAATAAATGATCTAGGTCAGTTTACTTAAAGTCCACATAGATGAAGTTTCACTACTTTAAAGAGACCCAAGAAAATCTTTTTCTTAGATAATAATTATTTAACAATCTTCATGTTAGAGAGGAGATCTGGGTTTTTGTCATTCATATCTGTCCACCTAGTTGAGAACTGCTCTCCCATAGAAAGACAAATTTCCAAGGTGTATCTTAAACAGAAAAAGGCAGAGTAAATGTCTGGCCTCCTTCCCCATTACCACTTCTTCCAGCTGTATTGAGATTATCTATTGGGCGATCAAGGATTTAGCCCCCTCATTCTATTTTGCCATGAATGTTAACGAAAAGGAAAAGGTAGTTACTCAGTCACCAAATAGAAAATATGCTCTACCAAGCACAATCTCACAGTCTAGTGTGTGTGACTGACATCAATGACACCAGGGATGCTATTCTTATCTTTTGGCTCATGGGAGAGTGATGGGAATATATAACTCACTTTCATGAACTGGCAGATCCTTAAAAAAAAAAAAAAAATCTAGATGTCAGTGGCTTCTCTGAAGGAAAAGATAGACAGCTCGCTACTCCTGTAATTTACTAAGTAATCTCTGCTGTATTTGCTGAGCCACAGGCTCGGTAAATGAAGGAAACTAAGCATTTTTATAAGCATTACGGGATTATAGATTTTCACAATTATTTCTAGAATGATAAAAGCTTCTTTTAGACAAAATCCAATACTAAAAATATTGTAAGAAAATGCATTCTTTTCTCCAAAGTGAATTGTAAGCACATTTCCAACTTCTCTGTAAATACTAAAATTATTTTTCAAAAATAAATATTCTCTATCTTCCTTTCAGCAAAATTTTCTTCTTAGTAGTGGGATATCTAATCATCCCATTGATAACAATGGTAATGTATTTTTGTATTTTATATGCCTCAATTTTGAGGTGGTCTTACTGGGGAGGAAATTAGCTGTTTATTGTATATGAGAAAATTCAGGCCATTATATTAATACGGTACACATGTGCATATCCTTCATATCACTCATATTTCCTATTTTGGAGAAATATATATATATGCTTTGCCTATATTACATTCATTCATAATTTGTGTGGTTTTAAATGAAAATTTCATAATTAATTCCATTTGAGATGATTATTTACAGAGAAAATTTAAATTCATTTCAGCTGTCATAAAAAGAAAATTATGAAGTAGTCTAAAATTAAGAGAAGTAAAGAAAGAGATGATTAATTTCTGTATGAGAACAGCATTTTTAACAAAAGTCCCATAATTTCTTAGGATAAATTATCTTTGTCTTTACAATCTACAGAGAGGTAGGTGTAAAAACAAAAGAGAATATGCATTAAATAACTTCAATTATTTAATTTTCCATTTGCATTTTAATATAAATTTTGACTGCACCACCTGAGACTTTCCATAAGGCCAGAATTTAAATATTAATTAGATACTGAGCAAATTATGAAGTCTCTCTTTCATCTGTTTGATAATTGTGTTTTCTGCCATCACTGAACCTAAGTTATGTCGTGATGGAAAGAAGGAAAGTATTCACCTCCTCAATTTTGTCATGTGGTCTCAAATCTAAATACAGGATAATAAATACTTTTTGTGTTTACAAATTCTCATGCCATGGGGTGGGGGGGGAAGAACAATTAATTAATTAATTAACAATTAATTCCTATTCAATATCCTTTCCTTCCTCATAGTAGAAATAAATTCACAAGTTAAAGATTTTGTTCAGTAAATTCATTCTGAGTAGTCCAACCTTTGATTCATCTGACACTAGGTTGATTATCTACATTGATTCTCTTGCCAATGTTTGATTATTTATGCAGTATATATATGTTCACTGGAATTAGATTGCAATCTTGCACTGTCCTGTACAGCTGGCCCTTTAAAATGTTTGTAAAAGAAATATATTTAGCATCAAAGATAAAGAAGTTGCTTAGAGGACACATATGGAGGCCTTGTTTTTTTGTTTTTGTTTTTGTTTTTCACTGTGAAGGTCACCTCATGAAGGTCACAGCTGTTTTATATCCCACCTGGCAGGGCAGCCACCCCATGAAGAGAGACACCTATTCTAGTGCCACGTGAGCTCCACATGTGCAAAAACAGGCAGCGACTATAGTTGGTTCCTGATTTTACTTATTGGAAAGCCAATATGGATTACAAATATGCATACATTTCTAATAGCCTAATCAAAATATTACTATAAGGGAGAATTACCTTAGGTCACTTAAATATAAGACAAATTGTGATTAGAATTAGGTTCTAAATTTGTCCATATTAACAACTTTGAAAACAAACATTAGGGAGAAAAGTCATTGTGTAGAGTTACAGATCTTAGCACATGTTTCTCTACAAATGTGACTGTTTTCATATAATAAATTGCCCTAAACTCTTCTAAGATGGCAATAATGATCTAGGAAGTATATTAGGTCCTAGATACTCAAAGATGAGCAGATCATAGCTTGTTCCTAGGGGAGCCTTGAGAATAAGTGAGGCAGCTATAGGTACATAATGTCATTTATTTGAGGGCATTGTTTTTCAGTCTTAGCACTGTTGGCATTTGAGGCCAGACAATGCTTTGTGGGAAGGTCTCTCCTGTGTACTGTGGGATGTTTAGCAGCACCACTAGCATCTACCCTTTATGTTCTGGTATCTACAGTCCCCTCCCAACTGTGACAACCAAAAATTCCTCCAGAAATCGGCAAATGTCCTCTAGGGACAAAATCACCCCTACTTGAGAATCCTTATTCATGTTAGTAAATGCAAAAAATATAAGCTGAAAAAATGTAACTATATTTGACATAATTAACCCTCATGTACGATGGTGGGGGGGAGTAGAGGGAAAGAATGATCAGAGTAGTCTTCACAGCACATGCCCATTGAACAATTTCCTGAACTAAATTTAGGATAGTGCATAAGTTGGGACAAAGTGACACCATTAGAAGGAAGAAGGTAACTGGTATAAAATAGGAAGACCTGAATCAGCATGAATATTGAGTCATTGTTGCATAGTCTCCAGGATTTTGAGAAAGATTCCAGTATGGTATGTCAGTGCTGAATCATATTCGACACTGAAATCTTTCTGGGGAACTGGACAAATAGAATCCCTTTGGTGGGGAGAGGAAGGAAAAAAAATTTTCATGGATAAGTTATCTGTTCACATTTGTAGTCAAGAAACGCAAAGCTGGCTGTGGTATGATGAGCTGGGGAGAGACACCCAACAGATAGCTTTAGGCCTTAACTGTGTGTAGCCAAGAGAATAGGAGAATCTGAATGAAGACAGTGTGAAAGGGAAAGAGAGAAGAGTCAGCATTTGAGTATAATTGGAAAAATAAATTGGAATGAGTTTTTCATAACCAAATATAACGGACTGAAGAAAAGTGGAGAAGGACTCCAAGATTTTTGGACTGACCTATGCAACAGGTGTTTCCAGTGCTTCACTCATTACCCTTTGGGTCCCTTCACATTTCTGAGTACACTGACTCCCAGAAATGAGCATTGAGCCCCTCTGTTTCCGGAATGTCTGCTTGTTGGCACTTACAAATAGTCAGACTGCCTTGAAATTTACATCTGTGTTGAGGTGGCCTTCAACTGATGACTGCCAGATAGAGGAGAATACAGACTCCAGCCATTTCGCACCTGAGCAGAGCAACTGAGACGTGGCTTTCACGGTCTCTAGATTTCCCTCCAGATTTAGACAAAGTTACCCCCTATAGTACTTTACTTAATATACCATCCCTTTTTAGTCCATTTTTTCCGGTACATAATTTCCCCCTGAACAAAGTTGTTCATAAATCATGTTAAAATAATTCCCATGTTAAAATTTACAGGATAGACTAAACCGTTTTTGCTTATTTCTGGTACCTTATGGGATAGTGGAGATGATCAGTCATCATTTGGATACCTAGAAATGGAGATCAAAACAGGTCTGGTTGAAATTTTAGGTAATGTAGATATTGAAGAAATAATTCTTTTACCATTGTTATTTCCTCCTATCATGTATAACAGTATGCTTTCATGTTTAAGGTTTTCAATATATAGATACAGCCCCTATCAAAGAGAAGAAAATGACTTCTGCTAATATATTAGCTTCTGCTTACATAATAAGTGGGTTATGAAATATTCTGTCATATTTCCTGTGTATATGTTTTCTTTTTCCATTATGAATGTTATCTCCTTTGTCATTTGAGGTGGAGCTTTGGGATTAACCCTGTCACTCATTCATTCATTTGTTTGTTCCCTTCTCATGTATTTATTCACGTGTTCATTATTAATAAATAGCTGTGATGGTCTGTAACGTGCCAGGCTCCATGTCGGTCACCAGGAAACAATAATGCATTATAGAGTTACTTTAATAGATGCAAATTGATTAGGATATGTAACATCCCAGAAGCACATCCTACCAATTAACAGATTAATATTTTGCCATTTTCTGTTATGGAATATTAATTACATGGTCATTTTTAAAGCAAAGCATGACTATAGATATCTTAGACAATATACATGCAAAGATACAGAAAACCTAAAAACATGGAATTGAGTTAAAAAGCTTCATGGTTTTCACACTGAGATACCACCTCACGCCAGTCAGAGTGGCTAAAATGAGCAAATCAGAGAACTCTAGATGCTGGCGAGGATGTGGAGAAACGGGCACCCTCCTACACTGTTGGTGGGAATGTAAACTGGTACAGCCCCTCTGGAAAACAGTGTGGAGGTTCCTCAGGAAACTAACAATAGAACTCCCCTATGACCCAGCAATAGCACTGCTAGGAATTTACCCAAGGGATACAGAAATGCTGAGGCATAGGAGCACATGTACCCCAATGTTCATAGCAGCACTCTCCACAATAGCTAAAACATGGAAAGAGCCTAAGTGTCCATCAACAGATGAATGGATCAAGAAGATGTGGTTTATCTATACCATGGAATACTACATGGCAATGAGAAAGAATGAAATCTGGCCATGTGTAGCAACATGGATGGAACTTGAGGGTGTTATGCTGAGCGAAATAAGTCAGGCAGAGAAGGACAGATACCACGTGTTTGCATGTATAGGAGGATTAGGAGGAACTTAATGGAGGACCATGGGGGAGAAGAAGGGGGGTAACGGTGGGGGAAAGGGAGAGAGGCAAACCATGAGAGACTCTTGAATGCTGACAAAAACTGAGGACTGATGGATGTGGGGGGAAGGGGGGGATGGGCATGGAGGAGGACACTTGTGGGGATGAGCACTGGGTGTTATGTGGAAACTAATTTGACAAGAAACTATTTGTAAAAAAAATAATAATAAATAAAAATAAAAATAAACCAAAACAAAAAAAAATAAAACAAAAAAAATATCTTCGTGGTTTTGTGTAAATAGGCTTCAGGGCACACTGGAGTCTCTCATATGCTTTACTCAGAACTTCAGGGGAAATGAGCAGTTAGGTTTACTCAATGAACTTGAAGAGTTTGAGGAAGCACTATGATTCCCACCATGCAGTACATGTCCCCTGCTGAATCTCTGACATTTGCCTGGAACTATGGTTTTCATGATAAGCCTCCAGTAAGTGTTCACATAATTGAATAATTACATTTAATTAATGAAAATACTGTTTTGAGGCAAAGAAATACATTATTTTCTAATTAGACATGAATATTCAAATAATCTTAGGAGACTAGCACACTACATATTCTTGGTAATGTGTGCCATCTTTCAGCATTGCTTTCCTTAAAGTCTTTGAAAAAGTACTAAGGAAATAAAATGGCAGATGTCCCTTTCACCTATTTCAGACTTTGTAAAAGTGGAGGGGGAAGTTCAGACTTTACATACTCAATTCTCTGTGTATGAATACAGCTTAGAGACTAGGTATCAAAAATATTGGTTCTGAGTAGCTCAGACACTCCTTGCCATATGTTTTCTTTGATTTTTTTTTTTTTTTTGAAATTTAACTTCTAACAGATTTTATTACAGCATTTGAAATAGGAGGAAACAACCCTGGAGCTTTGTGCGAAACATCAGGGTTTTCAATTCTATTATTACATATGAGAATTAGATATAGTATCCTGTCTACTTCTCAAGGATGCAGTGAGGAGAAAAAGTTCCTTTTGAGCAGTGAAAAGACCTTTCCAATACTGTGTGTGTGGTCTATTTTAAGAGATCCTACACTAATAACATGTATGTCTTGACAGATTGCTGGGTAATTCCTCCAAGGAAATAAAATTGATTTTCAATGAATGGAAAATTGGAAGAAACTAGGAGTTATAAATAGAAAATGCAAAGGGCAATGGTGAAATGGAACATGCTTTTAAACAGTTCTGGTCAAATATCTTGGTGTCTACAGATGTTCTCTTTTCAACAAGTTGTAGCAATAGTGTACAATGTGGATAACCACCAAACAGTGATTTCCAGAACTTTCATTTCAGCTGACAAAAACCATGGAGTTGCTAAAGGCAAAGGAAGTATCTTTGTTCCTAATGCTATATCAGCCTACTCCTTATCTATTCGGTCAAAAGAAACCAAAGAAACTAGCAGGAGCAGACTGAGGCTGTCAAGATAAACGTGTGAATCCTACCAACAGGACAGCCACAACTCACCCTTTGGCCATGATATTCTTACATCACCTGAGCTGAATATACTTGGGAGTAATAGGCTTGCAAACCTGTTCTTTTTAACTCTTGCCTTTGAAATTATTTGCCCTCTTATTTTGAAATCTTACCATGTTTTTAATTTACAGCAAAATGATAGGACACAAAGAGAACATGGATGACATACATAAAAGTTACTTCTATCCTTATTTGCTACCAATATTTTCACACACAGGTAATCCATTATTCAGAGGCCTAGCTCAGAAACACAAGGTGACTCAATGGAATTCGAGCATGCATTCAAATAATGCCAGTTTACATAAGTGGGTTTATTTCCTGGGTAGGAAGAAGATAGGTCTTTTTTAAATATATATAGTTTATTTATTTTTGAGAGGGAGAGAGACTGAGCATTAATTGGGGAGGTGCAGAGAGAGACAGAGTCACAGAATCCGAAGCAGCTCCAGGCTGTGAGCTGTCAGCACAGAGCCCAAAGCAGGGCTCAAACCCACAAACCATGAGATCATGACCTGAGCCGAAGTCGGACGCTTAACCAACTGACCCACACAGTCACCCTGAAAATAGGTCTTTTTCAACCAAAAAACCATAATTCTTTGACAACTTATAGGTCTCTCATGATATAAGGGACAGGGTTACCCTAGCATTAACAAACTTTGATTGTGAGGGTGGTTGGAATTCCTGTTGGAATACCATATACACAAAGATTGATCATCAAAGGGACATAAATTACACTATGTTGTAGACTATTTTTATCTTTAGTATTACTATTTTACTTCCACCTTTGTATTTAAATAAGCCTTCTAGAAAAATAAAGATACCATAACTTTGAAAAAAATTATGCCAATCCACAATATTGATTATATTTGGTATTATTAATTGATAAGATAATCCATTTTCTGGTTATAGAGGGAAAAGAACATATAATATACTGGATATCACATATAGGCATATTCAACAGGAATGACTTGGGAGATTCACAGTAGTTATATCATAAGCTCCAGAGTTAGTTTCCAAACGTCAACATTTGGGAGAGAGTAAAATATGCCGTTGTTCAAATCAATTGGTACTCAATCTACCACTTCTCTAAATATTAGTGTATTGCTGAGATTACATTAGGATGAGTGAATTTTCATCACAAAACACTGACGTTTTGATAATTTGGATGAACTAAAAGTGGTAAGTTCTGGGCTTCTGAAATTTGGCAAGGCAGCTACATTACAGTCTCCTTACCTAAATAAGAAATGTTTAAAACATTGATTTCTATTATAGGAATACACACAGTGCCTCTTAAGAATTTATCTGATTTCAGTATGCAAAGTTTTAAGTACTTCCTTCACTGCCTTTGTGTAGATTTGTCTACATGACCTGAAATTTATATTATTACAAGCATTCCTTCGGTTAAGAGTTTTGAGACAATATCTTCAAAAGATTAAAATTAACATGGATATGATTTACCATATCAGTAGAAAGTAGATTTACCTTTCTAGTCATCCCCACATTTCCCTTCTTACAGCAAAATTTCTCAAAAATTGTTTTCTGTGTTTATTTTTAATTATTTCTTTCTTGATCCATCTCTAATCAGTTTTGCCCATACCACCCAGCCAGAACGACCCTGGTCAAGGCAATAAATTAAGTCTGATCTATTAAAAGTATTTGATCACTACTTCCTCTTCAAAATACTTGCATTACTTATACATATATATATATATATATATATATATATATATATATACACCAGTTTCATCTGGTTTTCTTTTCACCATTTTGTCTACTACTCAGTCTCCTTTTCTATTCCCTGCCTCGAACTCTGAACGTGACAGTACATTATGGATAAGCCTTTGGATCCACTTCTCTATTTGTAGTCACTTTCTTGGTGTCCTCTATAGATTTCTGGCATGAAATACTTTCTATATTCTAGGAGACTCTCAAATTAATAGGGCAGACTTAGTGCACTCCTCTGAATCCCTGAACTTGATATCCCCTGCTTTGGACATCTCCAATTATATGTAAAATAAGCATGAAATAGACAAATAACTCTACAAAACAGAAAATATGTTCATCTCAAATTCACATGGAATATTCTCCAAAACATGACCACACATTAGGCCACATGTGTGACCTATTAAATTAATAAATTAAAGAAGACTGAAATCCAAGTATATATTTTTTTTTTTTTACCTAATCAAAGTGCAATGAGAGTGGAAATAGGATAAGGGGAATTGAAAACTCTGCAAATATATGGAAATTAAATGCGCTTTTGGGGAGCTGGGTGGCTCAGCAATTGAGTATCAGACTCTTGATTTCACCTCAGGTTATGAT